GCCCCGCCGGTGGAGGAGCAGCCCAAGAATGTCGACCCCCTGGTCTTGGAGCTGGTGAACACCAAAATCGTGGAGCGGGGGCCGCCCGTGCAGTGGACGGACATCGCTGGGCAGGTCTCTGTGAAGGCCACCATCGAGGAGGAGCTGGTGTGGCCCATCCTGCGTCCCGGTGCCTACACTGGGGTGAGCCGGCCGCCCCGAACCATCCTGCTGTTTGGTCCCCGCGGCACGGGGAAGACCCTGCTGAGCCGGTGCATCTCCACCCAGCTGGGCTCCACCTTGCTGAAGCTCAGTGGGACAACCCTGCTCTCCACCTGGAAAGCCGAAGCCGAGAAGATCCTGCAGACCGTCTTCTTCGTGGCCAGCTGCCGGCAGCCCGCGGTGGTGCTCATCACCGAGGCCGAGTCCTTGCTGGTGGCCCGGGCTGGCGAGGATGGCAGCCAGGTGAGCAACCTCAAGTCCCAGCTCCTCTCCTACCTGGACAACGTGGCTACCTCATCCGAGCAGAACGTGGTCATCATCGGGACCACCTCCCGGCCTGGCAGCATGGACGAAGCTTCCCACCGGCGCTTCGCCAAGCGGTTCTATATCTCCCCGCCGGACAGCATCGCCCGGCGGCAGATCCTCCATCACGCCCTGGCTCAGCAGAGCTCCTGCCTGAGCGAGCGGGAGATGGCCTCCCTGGTGCAGCACACGGAGAGCTTCTCGGGCAGTGAGCTGGTCCAGCTCTGCCAGCACGCCGGGGCCACCACGCTGCACGGTTTGCCGGGCCAGATCCAGCCCACCTCCTACCAGGACTTTGAGAAGGCGTTCTGCAAGGTCCACCCCGCCGCCTCCCAGAAGGAGCTGGACTTGTTCCTGGAGTGGGATAAAATGTACGGCACCAGGCACTGACGGCGCGGCATCGGGGGGCCGGGGGCGCGGGGACGGACCCTTCGCCCCAGCCCGAGACTCCGGGGACGGTTTTGGGACTTGGCTGACGAACGCAGGGTTTGGAGGGGCTGGGCTGGGGTCTGCGGGGGCTCCGGTTCTCCCCCAGAGCCGCGCCGGGGCCAGACCCCTTCCTCCCAAAGTGCAGGAGACCCCCGGAGAGCCCCAGCGGCAGCACGACATACCTCTTCTTTACTATTTTGGACTCGGCCGGGCTTTTCCTCTCCTTGGTTTGTCGGAAGCCGTTGCCCACTGAACTCAGGATAACCTATTTATTATTTTCCCGTCCATCCGTCCCCGGACCAGCGATGCAGCGAGCGGGGCCGGAGGCGCCTCGGGATCCGGCTTTCCGGCGTCGGATGCACGAGCTCCCCCGTCGATCCAGAGGCTCGATTATCTTTTTTTTTTTGATTGCTTTTATTGTTCCTAACAGAAATACCTCGGGCATCTTTTGAGCAAAGCAGCCCCCTCGCACGTGGCGCGAGCAGCCCGGCGGCCATGGCCT